GGGAAGGCACCGAGGGCTGGACCCGGATTTGAGTTGAAAGGTGGAGTTAGGTATCCGGTTCACTGGGTTCAAGGTACCAAAAGACCTGGTTACCTCGTGGCTGTGCACGATCCGGATATCAGAGCGTGGAAGCCTTTTTCAGCGCTTGGGAGGCGTGAGCGGCTGCAACTGTTGCGAGACATTCTCACAGGCAGTGTGATACTGACTCCTAAGCGAAGTGGAGCTGCTGAACGTGCCGGAAAACATATGTGGAAATGGTGAAGATTGAAAGAGCAATGTTGAGGATGTTTCACTACTTCGTCTTCATTTATGACCCTCACAGGAAGTCGTCAGAGTGGACGGAACCATTCTTCAACAACCTTTCCTATTTGTTTGATAAGTACTCTGATGAAGGATTAACGTCCGAGAGGTGGATCGACCAGCGTCGCCATTTCAAAAAGATGAGTTGGGTGCGAACGTTCCCGGCTACACTTGGAGGAGAGGAGGAAAAAGGAGAAGAGGGCTTCAAGAAAACAGCGTCACTTGCTGCGAAGTGCCCCGAAGAGTTCGTGCAGTTTGTCAACAAGCTGCTGCGCAGATCAGAAACCAGGGGTTCGGAAAGCATAAGAATGTCGGGTTCGGCGCAATATATATATTTCAGAAGACAGAACGTGAACTCTGTTTTCGTCCCATTCCAACGGGAACCAAGCGATATTTCAGACGAGATGGATTCCAAGGAAATATATAGAGTCGTCAAACATCTGAGTTGCCACACGACCGTGCTGGATTTATGTCACCCAACCCAGATAGGGGTGTGGATTGAAGAAGTTTTTGATGGTCTGCGGAAGTTCATTGGAAAACAGGCTGGTGATTATTGGACATTATTGTGCTTCGTTCCGCGGTCTTGCGAGTATACATTTTTCAAGCGAGTTACAAGTTGGGAGATTGACATTCACTTGTCTATTCTAAAGTGGACTCGTCAGCTACAAACGAAGGCGAAGCATTTATATAAGGTTGCGAACTTGCCTTTGGAGGACACAGACAGAATGACTGTCATCATGTACTCTAACGATGGGGATTATCACCGCAACACTATTCCCTTGCTTGAAGACATTCCAACAAGCACTCCAGCTGCAGATCGATCATCTGGCGAGCAGGCGGGTGACTTATCAGCACTTGTGCGCAGAGAGAGAAGGCCAAAGATGTCGGCTTATGTCGTGGAGAAGAATTTCACGTCCACGAAGTTGAAAATGGCAGGTATGGAGCCAAGGGAGAAATTGGTGTACGAAGGTATGGAAAGGGAGCCAAATGCGATGGTGGAGACATTGGAGCATTTTTGTCCTGCGGATGAGGCGGTTGTTTTCCTGGGAAAAGGTCATGCGGCGTTGATTTGGGAGTTGTTAAAGAGTCACCGTCATTGCATTGTTTTGGAAGGGGAGGGTATGAAGTTCGAGTTTCTCGTTCAATTCATCACCAAGATGGTCAAGAGTGGACTTTACCTCGCCAAATTTGCTAAGCCGCCTCCTCGACATGACGAAAAGCGTGATCTCGTCTACAAAGTCGGCAAAAACATCGTCAATATTTGGGAGTTCCTTTTCGAGACTAAGCCACAAAACAGAGGGAAACGTGCATATGTCGTCAGAAGGCGAAAAATGGAATCACTTCTGAGGGGGTATCATAAGGCACCGGCGGAGACGGAAGTTGCATTTCTAGACCGTTTGGAGATGATGTACTTCGACGAACAAATCGGGGCGTCTATAATTGCAGCTTATGCAACTTGTTTTGGGGAAGGCTTCGATGCTGAGGACTCAGAGGAAGAAAGTGAAGATGGTACTTTGCAAGCGGCTTTGGCAGATGAGAGGCAAAAAACTTGTAGCTCGGCTTCGCAGAAGATGGGTGCGTCGGGCACATCGTCCGGTTCTGGGGGGGCTTCGAGTATGGCAGTTACAGCGGACCAGTTTCAACGGACCAGTTACATGGCGGGCAACACAACAGCGCTATCTTCCGGCGCTATCTTTCGGCTGCAGGCAATTCTCTCCCCAGAGGTTATGGCAAGTCTGTCAGCACTTGCACATAGCCCAGCTACTGTTTTGGAATTGCTACGCTCTCAAACTCCTCAACCACCTCCGTCTGAGCCTTTGGAGTACGAGATTGAAGACATCATCCCTCCGGACATTGCACGGCTTCCTGGACCTATTGTGTGTCGGGACGATTATACGGTGATACCTGACAACGTATAGGGTCATCACATTATATGGCACCCCCACCACTTCCAACCTGCATTAGCGAGAGGGAACTGGGTAATGGCTATAAAAGAAGAAGGGGAGTGGAAATTTTGCCTCCACAGACGCATGTCACGATCCAAGTTTGTCGCACACGCCAAAAATTAGATTGGCAAGCGACCACTGCGACTTAATCCGAAGGTTTCTCAATCAAGACTGGATGCAAGGACAAAAGAAATCTTTGAGGAGTTCAAAACATCTCGATGGCTTGAGTATCTGGAAGAGTTCTATGATCGAGAAACAAGTCCAACTTTTGGATATAATTGGCGTATCGAAGAGGAACTTGAAGACAAAGTTGGGGAAAGGAAAGGAGCGAGCGACGATGAGAGTGGCAAGTGATCAGGATCAGGCGGAGGTGCGCTTGGCAAGGGAACAAGATCAAGTGGTGGTGGATATGGCAAGGGATCGGAACCATGGGGCGGTGTCAGTGGCAAGGGCCTGGGACCGAATGTCGGTGCAAGTGGAAAGCCAATAAGTCATGATGAACTGCAAAAACACGAAATGTGTCAAGGGCGTCAAGCAACAAAGGGAAAGGTATCAAGACCAAGAGGTGGTGCACATGACAAGGGATTGGGTTCGCCTCTGGGATTAGGACCAAGCAGCGGTGCACATTGCAGGGGATCGGGTTCGCCTCTGGGATTAGGACCAAGCGGCAGTGCACATGACAGGGGATCGAGAGGCGATGCAAATGGCCAGGATTTGGGAGGAAGCGGCGGTGCAAGCGTCAAGGGCGTAAGTCATGGAGAACTGCCGAAATGTGTCGAGGACGTCCTTCCGGATGACCAAGTTTGGGCGACCACTGTGTTGGCGAGCGAGAGTGTTACTGCGCAAGTGGATAATACTGGTGCACTTGCAGAATTAGAGATGCCATTGGATATGCCAGTCGAGAAAGATGAACATGAAGTCTCTCTGGACATGAAGAATGAAAGCGCGACTGCAGGTGCAAACGAAACTGCCAATGTATAGGCGATCGAAGAGGATGAAGGACATATAGTACTAAGTACACGAGAGCACCATACGCTTGTACAACCTAAACTTATGGTTGCAAAATCAGGAGCACAACAGTCTGCTAACCTCGTGATATTTATCGACGAATCTCCTTTTACACCATCGCATGGTGCGATAGAAGATCGTGTTGAAGACAAAGTGTTAGTGAGCCATTGAGGTGAGCACATACTTATCTCTAAGGGAATATTTAATACTGTATGCGGATTAAGGGGTACATGCACTCATCTCATAGGAACTAAATTTTTGCCTAAGTTTGCAACCGTGCGCTCGGTCATGAGAAGAAATGAAGTAGAATATTGTGTATCTCTTATTTGCAATTATGTGAAAAATTGAACTTAAACTCATAATGTTTTGTCTTGTCAATCATTGTCGTTTTATGTTGCTGAACATGCAGGGCGACGAAAAGAACTGTGGAAAACGACGCACGTACATTCGCAAAGGCAGCGTGAGAAGAATATTATTCGCCGTGGCTTGCAAGCCTTATCGACTTTGTCGTTATTGCCGAAAAAACAGAGAAGAAGACTTACACCCATGACATTTCCATCTATGAAGCCAGCTGCCCTAAGGATGTTTAAAGCTGTTGGAATAAGCCTCAGGGAAGGGAAGAAATTGCATCGCGAAGGTTACAGTTTATCTATTGTGGATGACAGTTCTGATAGCGAAACAAATAGACAACCAAAAGCATGAACTCGGGTCTACGTCGTACATCACATAACGAAAATTTCGTTTTTGTATGAAGTCTTAGTCGTTCCATTGTTGTTTATATGTGTGTTTGTATGCAGTGCATGACCCTTCGTTCCAGATTCCTTTAGCAACAAAACGTCTCACCGTAGAAGAAAAGATGTATCTTGACATGATTACAGGCAGCAACGAAGACAATGAAGTATACGACATTGTCGATTACAAGGGGAGCTGAAAGGCGGGAAAGGAAAACATCATGGTCGTCGTCGAGGATGAGAAATGGCTAAATAATGAAGTCGTCAATTTGTACCTGCTAACCGTCCAATCACCAATGATCACATCAAGGTTAATTCGGCATGTACAAAAGTGACAAGAGATGGGGTTCCTTTTGTGTATATTTTTAATTCTTTTTTCTTCACTCGATTGTCAGGTCCTTCGAGGTTTGAAATCGCATATTCCGAAGGGATGAAATGAGTGAAGGACACAAATCTTTTTAATTATGACTTAGTGATCATCCCTCTTCATTTTGGAAATCACTGGGCGTTAGCTTATGTCAACATAGACGGTCCTAACTGTAAATTCCACCTTCTAGACTTTTTCCCTCGTGCTAACTATGTTTCAGTCCTTGAACGTTTGGAAGATTTTTTCGAAGCGGAGTTTCATCTGCACAATCTTCGCGAAAGATATTATGTGGACGGGCCTACATCCTCCTTTGATACATCAGTGGATGAGATTCCTGCTCAAGAGGATCCTTGTAGTTGTGGTGTTTTTATGTTAGGTTTTGCATCTTTGCTTGCAAGAGGTCACTTCCCTCCATTTGCTTTCTCACAATTCAATATTTCTGATATGAGGCTTAGAATAGTATTTAACATTTTGTCCATGGTTAGATACGAAAGTCAATGAGGTACGACTAAAGCTACAATCCGTAGTTAATATTTTGTTGATGAGATTGGCATGTTTACTGAGTGTAAACATTGGAGGTAAAAATTTGATATTGTATTATATTTTGAGCACAGGCAACACGGGAGCATGACTGTCACATTAATTTTTCCTCATTGTATTGTCGTTCCTTCAACTTTGCATTGCTATGAACATTGTTTCGTCCTTATTTTGCTTTGTCGTTATTTCGATTTGTTGTTATTTTGCTTTGTCGTTATTTCGTCTATAATTTCCTCATTTCATTCTGCCATTTTACAGTTCAAAAAAAAGTGAACATGAAAACAATTTCACTTATAACGAAAACACCGTTATGGCAGACCATTCAGGATATATCCACTTGTTACTGGAACTTGTTTGACGAAGGCAAATCTTGTGGGTCTTGGCCTTTGTGAGCCAAAACACACTTAGCGGTAGGTTTATCCTATGGCTAGCCACTGATAAGGCAGGTGTCCTTGAAACCTCACTACTTCTTATATCGGACTCGTCACTGATAAGACAGGATTCCCCTGCTACTCTTATCACTAACTAGCCCTCAATAAAGCAGGTGCCCAAGGATCCTTGCTACTCTTATCACTGACTAAGTCCTAGGATATTTATTGATAAGGCAGGTGTCCTTGAAACCTCACAACTCTTTTATCAGACTAGTCATTGATAAAACAGGATTCCCCTGCTACTCTTATCACTGGCTAGCCCTCAATAAGGCGGGTGTCCAAGGGTCCTTGCTTACTCTTACCACTGAAAAGAATGTTAGGTTTGATTAGTGATAAGGCAGATGTCCTTGAAACCTCACAACTCTTATATCAGACTAGTCACTGATAAGACAGGATTCCCCTGCTACTCTTATCAGTGGCTTGCCCTCAATAAGGCGGGTATCCAAGAGTCCTTGCTTACTCTTATCACTGAAAAAAATGTTAAGTTGGTTAATGATAAGGCAGGTGTCCTTGAAACCTCACAACTCTTATATTAGACTAGTCACTGATAAGGCAGAATTTCCCTGCTTCTCTTATCACTGGCTAGCCCTCAATAAGGCGGGTGTCCAAGGGTCCTTTCACTTATCACTGACCAAGTGTAAGACTCATCGGAGTTAAGGCAGACTTTCCCTGCTGTTCTTACCTCCACACAAGTCTTATCTATGGCTTAAGTCATCGCTTTCGATGACATTCGAGCCCAGAATCGTTGTTAGTTTAGAGATTTATTGCTGGATCAGATGTATAATGAGCAATGATCGGTGTGATCTATGACACTTGATTATGACAACTCAAATCAAGGTACTCACCATCTGTTTGGATGAGATATAGAGAGAATGATCGCGGGAGGTTGATAGCTTGTGTCCATACCTCCAATCAATGCCCACAACAAGATTGTTGTACCCAGAAGCAATTAGTCTTTATTCAGCCAACCTTTTCTCTACCCGCAATCCAAGACTTTAAGAGTTTATTGATTCTGAATTCCTAACCCTTATGATCGTTGTCACGATGATAGCCTGTATGAGACAGCCTCTGGGTCGAAATAACGTACCTCATCGTTCCCTGCCTCCAGAGTTTGGCCTGAACTCCGGCAGAGCTCCCGCAATCGCCTTGTTACATGGATCAACATATGAAATGGGAGTCCTTTGCGCATGAATCCTGATCTCAGTAAGCCATTTGAAATATTATTTCCCTTACGTTGTTTGAAGATGGTTGTGTGCTTATGTGGGGTTTAGGCGTAGGAAAGCGAAGGAGATTGAAGGATGTAAGAACCGTCATACTTGTTGGCGCCTCTCCCTCGCTCTGTTGCCTCGTCCCCCTGTCCGATTTTGATTCCTGTTCTAGCATGTGATCTCGAATGAAGATAATAATAATAATAATAATAATAATAATAATAATAATAAGGAACATGAGAGCGAATGATATCCAAACCCAGGCTGTGAGATCACACAAGTGTCTGAGTAGTTATATACCAGCTGGCAGCAGTAAGCATCATGGTACTGAGCCTCCAGCCAAACAGAGCAATATAATAGAGTAATGAGTCAATGCTCAAGCCCTCAGACCTATACGGACTCAGCACCCAAGGTCACTCTGTTCTCTGTTTGATGCTCCACGCGTTTGCGTGACAGGGACCGTGCGTGTGTGTCCACTTGCGTCACTGTGTCTGCGTGTCGCAGCGTTTGTGTCACTATGTCTATGCCACTGTGTGAACGTGTTTGCATGTCATAGTAGTTGTGTTTCTGTATGCATGAGTGTTACTGTGTGACCATGCGTTGCTGTATATGTACGGTATGTGTCACTGTGTATATCACATTGTCCGTGTCACTGTGTTTCCTGCGTCGGTGTGACTGGGTCACGGCTTCCCCAAGCCTGTGTACGTGTGCATTCGCCGTATGTCTGTGTATCACCGCATACCGGTGTATGTTGCTCCATTGTGTACTGTGACTGCGTCACCGTACATCTGTGTGATTGTGTATCTGTGCGTTTTTACTTTGTGTACGTGTGTCACTTGCGTGCTAGTGCCGTCGTGACTGTGTTACCGTGCACTTAGGTGTCTATCTTCGAGCACTGGGTGAATCACATTGTCCTTATGTGTGTCACACTGCGTGCGTCACAGCGTGTGTCACAGTGTTTTGCGTCACTGTGACTTTGATTGGTGTCGCCGTGCACTGTGTCACTTGTACATCTGCTCGATACAGTGTATGTCGCATACCGTAACGGCGCAGACTAGAACAAGAATCGACATTTCTCTCATAGCACAAGATTGCGCAGACGAAAGGCTAAACTACCAATGATCAGACCAGTCAATGTCATAATGCGGACCAGGCATACATCATCATCATTGCAGGGTGTGAAGGGGTCTGGCGCTCACACAGGAGGAATGTGTCAGTCCCCAAACATACACAGATGATGAGGAGAGAGATCATACGAAGAAGCTATGGTGCCACAGGTAAGTCTCCCTGCCTGTCTGTTTCTCGGTATGTCTGTTTTCCCACTTGCCTGTCTGTCGTCTGACTGTCTGTTTGTTGTTTTGTCTGTCCAGTCTTTCTGTGTATGTGGTTTACTGTGCCCTTGTCTGTCACACAGTGTCTGCGTGTTACCGCATTCATCCGCATGTGGGGTTTTGCCATGTATGCGAGGGTGTGTCACAGTGTCTGTACGTGGGGTATCCAGGGTGATCCAGTGTATGTGAACGGTGAGTTATTTGGGTGCTGAGTCGCCACAACCAACTGGAAATGTGCCCGTATCTGGATGCCATATCTCTGAGTTTGAGTGGGCACATGCTGCCAGTTTGCTGCGTTGCTGTTTTCATACATGAAAAGTGTGAACGAGATGAGCCTGATTGCAATAATAGTAATAATACTAATACTCATAATAATAATAATAATAATAATAATAAGAATGATCAAAGAAGATGTGCAACGGC